ATGCTTGGAGAAGTGAGCCCGCGACTGCATCTCCTTCTCCCCGGTGCTGAGAGCCGACCTCAGAGCTCCGAGGCAATCTCTAGGACGGCAGGCGCTCCTTTAATCCCTTTTTTAAAAAATCATCTTGTCTCTTAGAAGGCCCTGGGTGGTGTGTCTTTTCAAATTTAACATGCTAAGCAAATGAAAGAAAAAGTGTTTAGATCTTAGAGAATGTGTAAATGGTTATTCTTATTTTTTTAAATCTGGAATAAGGCCTGGTTTGGAAGTTGAGCTTAGACATATGCCTTCTTCATCCATCCCAGTCTCAGTTCCTTTGTCTGTAAAATTTGGTTTTTAATTACTTTGGTAGTTGTTAAGCTTAAACAGGAAAGTAAAGGATTCCCCAGCATCTTGTCCAGCAGATAGCCTATCTAAGACTGCTTGGTAATGATAGGTCACATGAATGTGGCCTTTACCAGCTATTGTTTAATGGGCTCCCTACACTTTGACTCATAACTTCCTGTGAGGCTGCGACAATGACCTTATCACCTTCCTCCTCCCCTTTACAGGCTGAGTAAACTGAGGCCCGAGAAGGTTGAGTAACTTCCCAGAGGTCAGGAGCACACGTAAGCAGCGCGGGTCAAGCTTAAACTGCTGAAATTTGGTTCCAGAGTCTGTGCTCTGGCCAACTCTCAGTAATATTTAATTACTACACCAAATAGTCACACTCTCTCTTAGGCCAAAGGTTAAGGTTTTTTTTTTTTTTTTTTTTTTTTAGCAGCAATAATCTACATTTCGAAGAACTTTTAAAAAAGATTCACCACTTCATTTTCCCAGGTTTAGAAAAAGCTCCACTCCTTGATTTCCCCAGGCGTCTCAAAGCCCAGGAACAACAGCGGATCCTGAATTCACAAACCATGTTTTTTGGTGTGTGTGTGTGTTTTTTCCCCCTGAATATTTACATCAGAATGTTTTCTTGCCATATGCTTTGCATCTAGCTCTGGTTGTGTGACATTAGTACATAACTATTTATTTATGGCAGCGTGGCCTGGAGTTGCCACCTGGCTAGTTTGTTGCTGACCCTGCCATGACTTTTACATGAAAGCTAGCTGACGATAAGCAGACACCACTTGATCTCCCATTCCCTTCTCCCTCCCACTTCCCTCTTTCCAATTCACAGCCAACAGATTTTTATAGAAAACGTCAGTTCAAGGATGTTTGCACTAGTTATTTTTTATAGTAACTCTTCTCTCTGGCTCTTGTCCTGCATTCACCCTCACAACCCTTAAGGAACAGGCCAGGTTTGTTTTTCTGTTTTTATTTTTAACATGCTGGCAGTTTACAGTTTTGACCCAAATCCAGTAGATTGTTTAGAGTTAGTGCCAGGGGGAAAAGCACAGTTATGTTGCTGTTTTTGTTGGCAGTGACAGCGTTGTTTATTAAGCACAAAATAGAAGCAAAGCAGAAATGCGTTACTCTTGTTGTTGTTGTTGTTTAGGTGTTTTTAAATTTTCTTTTCATAAGAAACTCTTGGAGTAAGTTAGTTATTCCTTTCTCTCTCCCTTCCCCTACCTCCATTCTGCCCCATCTCTTGTGTCACACTCCATGCCCCTCATCTGCCAGGACTCCTCTAGAGCTGCCTTTTCATGCTTGAGTTTCCCCCATTGTTTCTCAGTCCGTCAGTCAGTTATACCAACCACGTGCCCATTAAATGAAGCAGGGTCATGAAAACAATACCAAACTAAAAACCCAAAGAACTGGCTGCCTATTTAAAATTAGCCATAAACAGTGTGCTCTTGAACAAGTGAAAGCCTTTCTAATCCTGCATGTGCTCAGTGTAACCCCAAGACATGGAACTTTATAGTTCTGATAGGGAGATAGTATCTAGAAACATGAAAAAAGTTTAGGAAATCACAGCAACAAAATGTGTGAAAGTGGGGACTAGTGCAGCTCCCTGGAAGAACCTATAGCCCTGGAAGATGGGATGGAGAGAATCACTTCACCAGATTTCTTTCTGCCAATTCCTGGACAACGTGAATGATAAATAATTTTAAAGGAGAGTGGGGTTTGGCAGGAAGGTGTCAGAAGGTCATTTCAAGAAGAATGCTAAACACAAAGGACTAAAAATAAGAGTGAGCCAAGTCACGCGCATGGGAAAGTTATTCTGGCTGGAGCAAACAGTTCTAGGCAGAGTGGAAAGGAGCTGAAGATGCTTGACCTTGGAAAGAGTCAGTCACATTTTTAAACAGTCTGTTGTTCACGGACTCTGCCAAATCCAATGTGTATTTTTAAAAATAAATACTGAATATTATTTTTATTATGTTTTAAAGTCTGATTCTATTCGTGGAATCTTATAAAATTCAGCTTAAATTGATTAAAGAAAAATAATTGCAGTTTACTAACAGAACAAAGACGAAAGTGATTAATATTATTTAAACACTTACGATACTCAAACGCTGTCACCTTAGCCCCTGATTTATAGATTAGGAAACTGAAACTCAAAGAGAATGAAGGATTTGCCTGATGGATCCAGTTAAGTTGCAAAACTGTGATTTGGATGCAGTCAGTCTGACAATAAAGCCTCATGTTCTCCATTGCAGTGTCCTATATTTAAGAAAGAAAAAACTCATTGGTTGAATTATCCTCAGTTAAGCATTTATGTTCTGAAATAGCTGGCTACTTTCTTTGGCCACCACCAGGGCCTATTGAAGAAGCATTTGACCTTCAATTTTGACGTAGTCAAAACACACTTTTGAAAAATTGTTTGGCCTCTTTGTCTAGAATGGATTGCATATTTTTCTCTCTGCCCTGTGAAGCACCACCTAAAGTGATATGTCTTTTGAAGCCAAAGTTTACATCTTCATATTTGCCATCCATGAATGACAGGTCATTTTATCCTGGTCCCAAAATAATAGGAGTGCTTGTGAGCAGAATAGTTCACTTGTTGAGGCTCCCAGCAATTACGCAAATTAACGACTTAAGGAAAACAAAAGGAAATATACAGAGGGACATTCCACACTATGATGGTGGAGCAATTACATTAAATAGTCAAGACCAAAAGCCAAAGGTGGTCCCTTCATACAAGTCAATGGCAGATGAACTCTTAGTCTGTGAAACCAGGTGGCCTTTTTCCAGAGGGAGCTCTCTTGATGGGCCTGCGACAAACAGAAACCATGACACACATGCACAGAATTCAGAATGGCATCTCCTCTCTGCTAGTCAATAATACTGAGAAGTCATGTTGTGGGAAGGCACAGTGCAAAGCATTTTAAGTACGTCTATCTTTCCTTAATCCTCAGCTCCTGTGTCAAGAGGTAAGAGCTATTATTAACTTCATTTTCAAGGTGAGAAACCTAAGGCTTAGAGAGGTGGTTTCTACTTATCAATTATTTTACAATATTCTAGTGTTTCCCAAATTATCTATGTTGAGGTCCCAGTTTTCCATCAATTTTTCATGGACAAATATTTCTGTAAAATAATATTTTAAAAGGTGAATTACTCAAAAATTCAACTTAAAAAGACAAAGACACATAAAATGCAAGCCCCTGATTAGTTATTACATGCTTCAACATAGAATTACTCTGCCAAATTGATATAAAAGGTTCTAAACGGTTATTCTCAATTTCTGTACTTATCACATAAAGACAGGTAAGAAAATTTGAGGATCAACCCTGGTTTGCCTGTTATATTCTGAGTAGCACTGTACTAATACCTTAGAGAGCCAAATTGTGAGCCAGGCATGTGTGAAGTCTAGGATTATCACACTTCCAGGTACTCTTAGTTGGAAGTGAAGTATAACCTGTTCCTTTTAGACTTTTAAGCATCAACCATCATTATTATTGCCATTATTCTACTGTATTTAGTTTTTCTCAAATGATGCATATTTATTAAGATCAGCAGCGCAAATCCTTGCAGGCTATTTCATTATGCACCCTATAAAGTTAATGCCATGT